ACAGGAAATGGCTCCAGGAATTGACAATGAAATTATATGAAATTTTAAAAACTTCTCCACAGCAAATGAAACTATCAGCAGGTAGAAACAGTAGCCTACAGAGTGGTAGAAAAATTGTTCCAGTTATACTTCAGACAGAGAGTTAATATCTAGAATATATAAAGAACTGTAAAAATTGAACAGCAAATGAACAAAATTTCCAGTCAATAAAATGAGATGATAAATTGGACAGTTCTCAAAAGAAGAAACACGAATGACCAATAAATTTTCTGTAAACGTGTCCAACATCCCATTGGAGCAATGTAAAGTTAAAACTACTCTGAGATTCCACCTCACTCCCAGTCAGAATAGCTATCATCAAGAAAACAAATGACAATAAATTCTGGTAAAGATGCAGGGGGAAAGGCACTCTTATTTACTGCTGGTAGGAATGTAAACTCGTATAGCCATTATGGAAATCAGTTTGGTGGTATCCCAAAAAATTAAAAGAAGAACTACCATATGACACAGCTATAATCCTCTTAGGTGTTGTGCTGGTTAATTTTTGTCAACTTGACACAAACTAGAGACACCTGGAAACAAGAATTTTCAACTGAGGGTTTTCCTCCATCAAACTGACCTGTGGTCTTTTCTGTGGAGGCATTTTCTTGACTGCTGATTAATGTAGGAGAAGCCAAACCACTGTAGGAGGAGGTGCCATTCCTGGGTAGGTGGGCCTGAGCTGTATAAGAAAAGTAGCTGAGCAAACTAGAAGCAAGCCAGTAAGCAGCATTCCTCACGGTCTCTGATTTGGTTCCTGCTTCCAGATTCCTGCCTTGAGTCATGCCCTGACTTCTCTCAGTGATGGACTGTAACCTAGGAGTTGTAAGATGAAGTGAACTCTTTCCTCCCCAAGTTGGTTTTGATCAGTATTTTATCACAGCAAGAGACCACAAGCTATAACATGTGTATACTAAAAGAACTCTATATACTACCACAGAAATAATTGCACATCTATGTTTATTGCTTCTCTATTCATAATAGCAAAGTAATGGAATCAGCAGAATTGTTTCTCAACAGGTGAACAGATAATGGTACAAATACACAATGGAATTTTATTAAACCACAAAGAAAAATAAACTTATGGAATTTTCAAGAAAATGGATGGAACCAGAAAATATTATAATGAAGTAACCATGACTCAAATGACAAATACCACATTTTCTCTTTCATATATTTTTTTGGTTTTTTTATATGGAAGTAAGTGGGGTAGAGGATAGGAAACTAGAAAAGGCCCCATGAAGTGGGAAAAAGAGACTTTATGAGAAGTAGGGAGGGTGACAGAACACACGCAATACGGAAGTAGAAGGGGAAATATTGGGGGTGGAAAAGTATAGTGGGACGTGGGTTAGAGAGACAGGAGAGGATCAGGGAGGGGAAGAATCAGCCAAAAGTTATATATAAGTTATACAAATTACGTATGAAAGTTACATATGTTATATATGAAAATGCCATGAAGAAGGTGTTATTTTACATGTGAATTAAAAATAAAATTTAGAAATTAATAGGTGCATATTTCACATTATAGTGGTTTTAATGTATCTTTCTTGATAACTTAGATGCCAAGTCAGGAAAACAACTGACAAAGTTGATCCAATGGACAGACACTGAGCAGTGAATCTAACGATGGGAGAATGCGCATTCTTCCCATGTACCTGTGGAATATTTATGAACATTTACCACAATGATGGCCATGACGTTAACTTCAAGTAATTATAAACAAAAAGAATCATATAGTCAGCCAGGAATGATAGTGCATGGCTTTAATCTCAGCACTCTGGGACACAAAGGCAGGTGGATCTCTGTGAGATCGAGGCCAGCCTTATGCACATAGTGAGTTCCAGGCCAGCTTTTCTACAGAGAGACCCTGTCTCAAAAAAAAAAAAAAAAGGCATCATATAGTCAACTTTATCTCATCACAGTCAAGCTAGAAGTTAACAGAAAAAGATAATCAGAGCTACTCTGTCCCACCTTAACTTCAAAATGCAAACAATACTCAACCATAAACTATATATAATAATGGAAAGCAGAAAATATTGAATATTATGGTAATACAACATGGATTATATTATACTATATATGGAATTTGAAAGATTATGGAATTTGAAAGATACAGGAAAATGTATTTTATAGTTATATACATAAACACACATATATAGTGGTACTGGAAATTGGACCAAAGGCTTAGTGTACACTAGACAATTTTTCTGCCACTGAATCACAATCCAAGCCCATGGAAAGTGCATATTTTTAAAAACAAAACTGAAAATTCATATCTTAATAATCCAAGTTTAGAAAAAGAACACCAGAATAAGTCCCAAAGGAGGAGGAAATGATAAGCACAAGGTTGAATATTTAAGTAGGAGAAACAGTAAATGCCAAAAATTGTTCAAATGACACCCAAGGAAATATGGGGATGATGACTAACAATAAAGGCCTTTTGAAAAAGTCACATGGAAACTATAGCAGCTTCTTAGAGTATGTACATACACAACATAAAACAAGTTTAAGGAGCTGGAGAGATAACTCAGCAGTTAAGAGCACTAGCTACTCTTGCAGAGGACTCAGGTTCAGTTCCCAGCACCCACATGGTGGATAACAACCATCCATAACTCCAATCAAAGGGGATCTGACACCCTCTCCTGACCTCCAAGGGTATTGCATGACACAGGTACACTTACATACATATAGGCAATACACTCATACATATGAAAATAAAAGTCATAAATAAAAAAACGAGCTTAAATGGAGTTACCCTATAATGGAGGACAATGCCCCTATCATACACCATAAGTTAGCCCAATGTCAGGAATGAACTCACTTGTTTGAAGCTGTTGACTAGGGGTCCCATAGATCCTCAAAAATACTGGCTACTGCCTTTGCTCTTGGTTACCCATCAGAACTTGACAGTAAGACTCTTTCTGAAGATACTACTACATACATGAATATCTAGAACAAAAAGAAATCAAGCTGGTACTGACTTTGAAATTTCATTCTTACTGACTAGCTTTCATAGTTCTGGAAAGTGCTATGCATGCTATCAGAAGAGAAATGTGATCATCAATTTTATCCAACTGTGAACTCTGCAAGCTATAATAACAACTGACCTGGCAGGATAAACCCACAGGTGCACTAGCGGCACCAGTATTATGGATATAACCAACCACTTTCCTTTCTGATTGGATTTAAGCTTCACTTTATAAGATGGAGCCCATACCTGGCAGTGATATCAGGTCTAGGAACCTATGGCAAGACAGGTCATAGGCCACAGGGGAAAACCTACTGCTATTAGGCTGCTAAATGGACATAGTATTAAACCAACTCCTAATGGCCTTTTGTTATCCCATAGATTAGTGCACCTCTCAACTCTCACCAGAGAAGCTTCTTCTTACAGCAGATAGCAATTAACAGAGACCCATAACTGGTTAATGTGTAGAGAATAAGAGGCTGCAGAGTGCTTAGCCCTAAAAGAGACAAATATACCAATCCTTCACCTCCCAAGGCTCAAAGAGAATTATGGAAGAGGGGAAGAAAGGTTCTAAGATTCAGAGGTGGTAGATGGCTACAAGGAAACAGTATTTTCCAGATACAGGGTAGTTAACCCATATGAACCCATAGCACTTGTGACAGACCCAAGCAAGCCCAAGCCAGACAAAGTCCCAGCATGATGGGTAGAAAGGGACAAGAAGCCCCAACTTTGGCTGAGGAACTATTGACAACTGGTTGCTGTGATGCTGGGTAGGTTGACCAGGCTTCAGGAGATGCACAACACAGGTACACTCACACACATTCAGGCAATACGCTCATACACATAAAGTAAAAATAATAAATAAACTAACTTTAAAAAAAAAGAAATTTATTCCCCAATAATAAATCTTCCCACAAGGCTGATGGAATTTACTGGTAAGTCCTAGCACACAGTCCAGGTCTAAAATTGGCCTGCACTGACTCTTCCAGAAACCAGAAGAAGACTGTTCAACTCATGAATGGGTAGGGTAAGTTAGATGGTAAAAACAGCTTAGAAAGGAATGTGAAAGGCCAAAGGCCCTCATGAATGTAGATGCAAAAATCCCTTCTAAAGTGATCAAATTAGGTGCAATAAGAAATATCTCATGAACACCATGAACCTGCATGTTAGTGCAAGACTGCAAGATTAGAAACAAAACTATACACGAAACAAAAAAGTTGTATGAGTATCTTAATTTGCAGAAATTTAACACCCAGTCCTCTCAAAGCTACCCTCCAGCACTGAAGTCTGACAAATGGGGGGTCTTCTTAGTTAAAACTGTTCAGTGTCTCTCAGAAGCAGGAAGCATCTGATTATTAATTGCTTTTATGGAATGAAAAGAAGTCCTCACCTTCTGCTAATGTGCATTTCCCTCTGGATCTGAAAGGGGTGGGGTGGGGACCGAGCCTCACATTCCCTGCTTAGTAGAATTCTGTTTTGCAGATATAAAAGGCAGACTATTTTGCCAAGTCTGAGCCCACTGAGGAGTCTGGAGAGAGAGGGTCGTTTTTATTAGAAGTACCCACAAAGACTAGAAGTCCAGTGGTGGGACGCTGTGGTTTCTGCCCTGCAAATTTAAGGAGCTCGCCCCCAGCTCCTGGCAGCACCTTAGGATGGAGACAAGACCTCAGAGGCCGAGGCTGCCTGGCACACCCAGAAGACCCCACCCAAACACCGCAACACCCAGGAGCCCAGAGGGTCCCAAAAGAGAAAGGCTCCAAGTTCTTTGCCTTCCACGCATCGGAAGCCTTGTAGGCTCTAATAGGAATCAACAACCTCCTCCAGCCCTTGGAATCCAAGTTGCTTTGATTTAAAGAAAAGTCAGTGTTTGCTCACACCCAGGCTGTAGTGTAGCCTTCCTACCCATTACACCTGTGCAAATGTCTGGGGAAGAGAGGAACCGGTCACAGACACACTGGGTGAGCCGCAGCAGAAGCCCCTGGCCCAGCTCTACCTCTCCTCCGGGTCTGGCCACCGCTTCAAGTTGCCTTGGAGGCCACCACCAGCTCCTCCCTTCTGAACATCCGCAGCAGGCTCCCGCCCAGACCTGGCCGACTCCTTCAGGTCGTCGCGCAGGTGGAGGGTGCCACTGGCCATGCTGTCCAGGAAGCTGAGGATCTGGAGGCAGCTCTGCACCCTGGGTGGGAACGGGCAGTTGGAAGAAAAGGCGCAGTTCAGTAAAACCGCAAAGGGCCTGGCCTTTGTGTCAGACCCCGTGTGCTGCGGCACCCCCTCCTCCTCAGGGACTCCAAAACAGCCCAGTAGGCAGAGGTCTTCCGCCAGCTTCTCGAAGAGCCCGTTTCTCCTGAAGAAGTGTCCATTGACGGGGTCCAGATGCAGCGCAGCAGACACCACACAAAGAGTGTGCAGCACCAGCTCCAGGGTCTGTCTGGGGGACACTGCACTCCACATCGATGTCGCAGGCACTTGAAGGGACCCCTCCAGGTCGGAGAGTAGGGACAGCAGCCCATTGAACCCACTGGAGACTCTGAACGCAGCACGTCCCTTTGGGGTCTCCAAGATCCGCAGCAGAGACTGAAACACCAAGCAGATAAAATGAGTGAATTCCAGCAAGCAGGACATGGCAAAGGGCAAGCACACCCATCCAAGGTTCTAGGCTCCAGGCTCCCCTCTGTTTGTGACCACCCACCTGAAATTTAGATGAGCTAGGTGGACAATTCTCAAACATGTTGATGTCAATCTTGTTCTTTACAGTTTTAGGTTGTCCCAACCAAGCAGTTTCTCAAAGGGTGGTCCTTAAAACCCACACTAACTGACAAAGTTGATCCACCTGTGGGTATCTTGACATAAATGTGTCTCCCTCCAGAATAAGTTTTGACCCCCCGGCCCATACAACCCAAGGCTAGTGGGTTACATAGCCCTCACCCCACTACCTGAGAACAAAACTCCCATCACACACACACTACTGCAGCTACTAAAAAATTGTCTCAGATCCTCAGCAGACCGGGGCTCCATGTGATAAGGAGCCACCAGATTTGTCACCCCGTAGAACACGGCAGCATTTAAGTCCCTATATGTGGAACACACTATCTTCTCTGTGTACAGAAGACACACAGAGACATCATAAAACTGTAGCTGATTTAGATAATCTCTCCCTCTGCGCAAACAGCAGAGCTGCACTGCAGGAGGAGAGAAAGCAAAGGGAATCTACTTAACAGCTGATTGTAAAGAGGAGGCTTTCCAGAAGGGAGGACAAACCTTCAATGAACAAAATATGTAGATACCACACAGCCTGGACCTGTGGCAAATACATTTCATGTAGTTAGAGTGGAGAGAATCCAGCATCTTCCAGCTGTCTGAGACTTCTATTGGTCAGGTAAACTTATTCCCTGTGAAATTAAACCTTCACAGAGCACTTACAAGGAGCCATTCAGTGACCCTGGAGCATGGTATACAATAGCTGTTCACACTTGGAAGGAAATGATGATGAAAGGATGGAAAAAAGAAAGGGAGGGTGAGGGGAAGAAGGGAATTCTCATTCTGCGCTAACTTCACATCAAAAGTGAAGGATGGATGGACACGTTTATATAAATATTTAAGTCTGCAGTTCGGGACATTCACTTATTGACCTCAGAGATTGCATTGGAACCTACTTGAAATCCAGATATTTCAGGTGTGTTTTTGGATAGTGGATGGCCACTTAATTACTAGATTCTGGAAGGAGGTTTGAGTTGCTTTATCCTTTTAGAAACGTAATGCTGCACTGAAGCAAGGAAGGAGACACTGTTCAGAATCAATTCTAGAATGCTTGAGATCTGCTTCGAAGGGGAGAAATGCAAGGGAAACTCCCAGTTTGGGCTAACAGCCAGTGTTGTGACTTAATCACATGACTTAGGATGATCTAAAATCGGACATGTGGAAGTCCACAGATGGGGAAAACTTAGAGCTCAAGAACAAAAGAAACAGAGTAAATTTTTAAATTGTTTAAAATTCACACAGAGACTTAAATATGAAGACAGGCACATGTAGAAGGGAGGGTTTCTTCTGGCTCCATCTCTAAAATACTGGTACCTTAACCTAACATGGATGTTTGTGTGAAATAAAATAATGTGTCTTTAGTATGATATTCAACTGCAAGAAGTCCCAGCTGAGCTTATGTTTGGGCTCAAAGAACGGAAGATGAAGACTATGTTGTCATACACAGGCAGGGACTATTTCAAAATCTAAAAAAGACAAAGATAAATGGTTGCCAAGAACCCTTAACAGACTCCTTTTACTCCATCCTCGACACTTCCAAAAATTAAAGAAACAAATTGAAGAATACAGTAACCAGGAGAATCTATGAAAAGTCAAATTCTATAGTTATGTTCAAAGTAAATAAGCAGAAGAAAGAGAAGAAGAGTCATTGTTGCCGATACAGGTTGCCAGGCCTTTCGCAGTTAAAGAAACTGTCTTACTGTGGTGACCTGCTCACTGTTAAACCAGCACAGCTCAGAGGGACGAGTATAGAGAAGGGGATCCCCAGTTTGCTCTTTGAAAAAGCATCAGAGCCACCCATGAAAGGAGGCTCAAATCAGAGTCATGAGGTAGATTTCAAGGGAAAGGACCTTTTAGGAAGGTAGAGGCAAAATGATGAATTAAAGACTGTACAAGGGCCTGGAGATGACTAAGGGTTAAGAATATTTACTGTTCTTCCAGAGGACCCAAGTTCAGTTCCCAGCACCTAGGTCAGATGGCTCACAATCACCTATAACTCTAGCTCCAGAGGATCTGACTTCCTGTTCTGGCCTCTGTGGAAACTGCACTCACATGAACATCCTCATACACAGACACATATGCATAATTAAAAATAAAATACATATTTGTTTTTAAAAGTCTGTATGGATGTGGCTGGAGAGATGGCTCAGTGGTTAAGAACACTGGCTGCTCTTGCAGAGGACCTGGGTTCAACTCTTAGCACCCATGTGGTGGCTAACAACTGTCCATAACTCCAGTTCCAAGGAAATATGATGCCCTCTTCTGACCTCCACTGGTATTTCACGACACAGGTACACTTACATACAAGCACACAATACACTCATACACATAAACAAATTAAAAAGACTGTACAGATGAAGAATTAAGAACCTTTTCTTCATAGGAGAAGATACATGAATCTGGCTCAAAACCCAGAATAGACATGTATGTGGTGAGAACAAGGTTCCTCTGCAATGGTGAATGTGAAAGCTCATGGTAAAGACTGGGCAAGACTTTTCTCTGTGTAGACAGAGCCCTTATCCCTGGAAACTTTGTCCTGCATAAGCTACTCATTCCCAACTAAGAAGCATTTCTTCATCTGGGAAGAAAACTCACTCTAACTATGAATTAGGTAGTAGTTTAGGTCCCTTCCTTTCAACTGATAATCCAAACAGCAGTCTGTACATGTAAATGGCATGTGTAAGTCTCCTCACACATGAACCTGACCTTGTGCCTGGTCACATGATGTGTGCCATGAAAAAATAAATAAATTACCAAGACATTAGGAAACCTTAAAAGCTCTGATTTTAGATTGTCTAAATTTATATGAGGGCTTTCAGTGGCTCTTATAACCATCAGGAGATGGGTTTCCGGCAAAAGGAATGTAGGAAGTTCTGTTTACCACATGACGCATGTCAAAACAAATACAAAAAGGGATAATGATCAATAATAAAAACTTAATAATATTGTAGCCAATTGTCTGAGCACTGGACAACTATGGAACCCGCCCCCCAGTCCCTGTAATCAATCAAATTCAAGTACTTCAAGATGATGCCAAACATTGCTGAGAAGAATTCCATCCTTCAAAGAGTGTTGACGTAGATATTTTAAAGGAGAAGCAACTCAACAATAATCTTTGCCTGTGATCTGTGCCTCTCAGTGGGACTGTCACCTAGATGGCTACTTTCTTTCCTCTGGTTAAGGGGGGAGGGGTGGGAGGAATGGCTTCCCTTAATTGTTGCTTTGTTTGATTTATTAAATTCAGAGTCATTATCTAAAATGGGGGTAATCTCATTAGAATGTAGACTGCTCTATTATTTCTTGGGATGGGGTTAATTTCATATTTGCAGAGTCATAAAATAAAGAGTCCAAAATCCAATTACAAAGGCTTAATTTCATAGCAACTAAAGAGAAACATTTCTATCATAAAGGAAAATAAATATTTCGCGACTCCGGGAAACGATTTGTCAGAAACTGGGGGCCTAGGAGGAGGGTCTCCATTACTGTCATTCAACTTTGCATGATAATGCATCACACAGGGTTCCGAGTCTGCAGAAAGGAGTAAATTTAATCAGCTGAAGTCAAAGTAATCAGGCTAGGGTTGACACATTTCAAGAAAGGTCAGCGTTAAGCACATTTTCTCATCCTTAACTCAGTTACCATGTCATCGGCTCTGAGTTAGTATTCCTCCGGCTTGAATCTATAAAATGGATGTCTGCTGCAAAGCGCTAACTGTGTTAGGACTAACAGGATTTATTTCACATTCTATTATTTGTTATTCCTCATAATTTTCCATGTGTCATGCTGGAAGACTGGTGAGGTAATGTGATTAAGCTCAGAGTTGAACAGCTAAATGTATATTAGCAAATCAATCTGAATTTGTGCATAACCCAATCACAGTCCCATTGGCCATGGGGAGGAAATTCATTTGCTTACATTATCCTTTAACTGAGTTATCATTTGCCAGAATTGGTGCTGTAATCACATGGCTTCAGTGTTGGTATGGAAGTGCCACTGGGTTCTGGAAACATCTGCCCTGAAGTAGTCTTCTCCAGATTGGCTAGTAGCATCTGCCCCCAGGAGAGGGTATGGGAGTGATGCAGGATAAGATTGCACTGCAGTGATGGCAACATCATCAGGAAGGATGCTGCCCTGCCGCCTTGCTTTGGAGGTACAAACACCGCAGCACTTCCCACTCATCCTGCATCTGACCCACTGTGCAAACAGTCTCCTGGGCACAGTCAGCTCTTAGCTTCTGAACAGGGACATGCAGCCAAAGAGAGCTCATGTCATACCTATGTCTGCAAAGTTGCAAGGGGCTCTTGGATGATTTAAAAACAATTGCAGATCCCACATCAGATTCCAGAGAACATTCACTCGCTATTTATGTGCTCAGAATCTGGACTAGACTGTGGGGATCCAGCCGCCTCTGCCACCCACTGAGCAGCAGGATGTTGGCAGTCCTAGTCCATTGAAGGTGATGGCAGCTCATGAGGCCTCTTGTTATCCAGCAGAGCCTTGGCGTGCGGGAAGAAGGGGAAGAGAGCAAGTGGACTCTGACTTTGTTAAATAAGCTCACTGAGGGCTCATTCCTTGTGAGTTTTCTTGATGCTGTGATTCTGAAATGATATTGAATCTGTAAAACACCATAATGGCTTTGCATTGCTAATTCTAGGAGTTCCGTCCTATTACCCAGGGGCTAACACTCCACTAAGATGCCTCTGCGCTACAGAGTAAACAAGATGAACTCACTGTGAGCAAGATAGCGCACTCTTCTCTGAGTTGAACACAAAAATCCTTTCTGTTTCCAAACAGCCAAATTTTCTGTGTTTTTCTCCCGCTGGGCTAGGTATTGGAACCCAGGGTATCCCTTGTGTTGGGTAAGCTTTCTACCCTGAACTTTACCCCTAGTCCTCATTAATTCTTTTCTAAGCTCACATAATCATGGCACTCAAGTGTCTTTCAAAAGACATTCAGGGGGTTGGAGAGATGGCTCCGTAGTTAAGAATACTGACTGTTCTTGCAGAAGACCCAGGTTCAGTTCCTGGAACCCACATGACATCTAACAACCACCCATCACTCCAGTTGCAGGGGTTCTGATGCCCTCTTCTGGCCTCCACAGGCATTGCATGACTTGAGTATACTTTTATGCATGAAGGCAAAATACTCATAAACATTAAATAAATAAATAAATAAATAAATAAATAAATAGAAATGTTTAAGACATTCAAGCTTCTTTTTGTGCTTCTTAGAAATCTCTTTCATTAATTTCTGGGATGGGGGCTACAATTAAATCAGTGCTTGGGTTCATATCTGTGAAACTCATAATTATGGGCAGAGTGTCTCTCCCAAGCAAACATCTCAGGATGCCTCTACCAGGTGCAGCACTTTAGGTTAGACCTATGATATCAGGAACAACTCCCTCAAGGTCTAACATGGGCTCTGCAGAGAAATAGGTGCAAAGAAAGAAACACCATCCTCTTTGTGTTAAAGGCTTGGTACAGAGGTCCTCATTGTTAAGCCAGTTAGGTTTGGGAGTCAGAGCAACTTTGTCCTTTGATAAAATGTATAGATAACCAGGTATGACATGTCAAGGAAACAAGCATGTGTTCGTTTGGGCTGTGTCACACACAGAGGTCTCGGGGGTGGGGGGGTTGCATTCACTGTTCTTCATTCAAACAGCATAAAACAAAAGAAGTTTTAAAAGGCATAAGCCACAAAGGCAAAGGAATAAAGAGGAAACAGCAATGACACTAGGAAAAGAGAGAACTACTTTAAGATGATTTGATGTTTATTGGCAATGTTACAAAAATATACACTTCTCTGCTGTCCCCGTGTGTCAGCCTGGGTTCACTTGTGCATTAGTGTCCCCTCCCCGACCCTTTGACTATCTTTTTTCTTTCTTTCTAGCTCACACTCTCCTCTGTGAGCCTTCCTGGACCAGGTAAAACTGTACTGCTCTCTTCCCACTGCAGCTGGTGCCTCCCCAGTATCTACCCAAAGTCTACCCTTGGCCTATCCAGGGCACTCACTGCCTTCCCTGAGGTCTGATCTTCACAGAGACCAAGGGCTGCATCTTGTTCTACTGTGTCCTAGGCACTCTCTCCTGGTTAGATGCTCAGTAGATGGAATCTACAGCGCACCTGTCTGGCCACCACTGATTCACTCTCCACTTTCATGATCTGAGGTTGCTGCCTAGCCAGGGACCACATTTCCTGGCACCTTTCGCATGCAAATGAGCCCTGCCCAAAAGGCTGCCCAAAGAAAACTGGAAGGAAGTTAACACGTGCTAATTCCCAGCTTGAATGGGAATGTTTCTGTGCCATTCTCCATGGTCTCTCTTTCCTTGTCTTCTGGCTGAGCATCCAAGGAACAGCTGTGCCTGAGTTACAATCCTAATTATTGATTAGATTCTCCATAAAAAGAAATTTAAAGCCAGGTATGGTAGTGTACCCCTACAATCCCAGCATTTGGGAGGTAGAAGCAGGACAATCAGGAATTCAAGGTCATCCTTGCCTACATAGGGACTCTAAGGCCAGCCTAAGCCACATAAAACCCATCTCAAGAAATTTATCTGTCAGGCAGCTGAGCACAGGGTATTCATTTGTGACAGCAGCTAAAACTTCTCGGCAGAGGAACCTACCCAACTCAACGGCCGACTGAACGAATGGATGCATGAACAAAGATAAATCACTTGATGCACATACTGGAGAAAGCAATTACAAAGGAAGACCCGGCCTCACCTTGAGAAGGTCCAGTTTCAGCTGCAGCTCTCCCTGGGTGGACGAACACAAAGCCCCCACGATGATGCTCATGTACTCCTCTGCGTTGATGACTGAAAGCTGCTCCAGGATGCTGAGCGAAGCCCCCCGGTAGCTCTCGTCATCCAGGAAGATCTTGATGAAGGGTACCATGCCATGATCCTTCAGGACAACTGGAGACCAGACAGACAGGGTGGGGCTAGAGTGAGGGGGCCTCTACTCTGCAATTTCAATCACAAGCAAACTTTCCCTTTCAACTTTGCTTAATAGTTTTGCTTTGCTTTGTTCTATAATTCATACCATTATGGATTAAAATGAGAAAAGGAAGAGAAACTATGGAGCTGAGAATTTAAAGGAAAAACTGCTTTCTTCACCCATGCGATTTCTATTTCGAGGGGAGAAATCCTTTGATCAAATCTTCCCATTAAAGATAAATTTAAGACATGATGAAATGAGTTCAAGAGAATTATTGTACAAAATAATGATAGTAGTTAATAACAATGTTTTGTAGTCTTGAAGAAAAAAGAAAAAAAAGCCTTCAGAAATCTCAGTACTACAAACTTTGGCTGGTCCACCTCTCCGTTTATTTTACCTTAATTCCCTAATCCAGGACCAATGAAAACTCCTTAGTCTCTCTGCCAACTTCTTATGAAAACAAAGCAGAATTTAAGTTAGGAACATATTTAATTCCTAAGCCTTTTTGAAGGGAGAAAATTAAAGAAATCCAATTGATGCTGTGTTTTTGTTTACAAGTAATCCTAGGTTTTTCTTCCGAAGGATTGTTATTAGATTCATCCTCATGGAATAAAGACTCAAAATTAACTTGACGAATTAGCTTAATGTAGATTTGAACAGCTTGGGCTTCTGAGGCAGGATGTGCCAAACATGACCATGTTCTCTCCATGGCGAAATTATATTGGAAGACCAATTTAAGTTTGACCTTGACCTACTACTAATCAAGAGTCAATCTAGAAATATGAATTCTAACCAGTACTTTGGGGGAACACTTTGTAGGCTCACGCAAGAGACTTTCCCTTGCTAAAATGAAATGATAGGCTTTTACATTTAGCATGGTTAATCTATGAGGGCTTTGGCTAAGTGTCCAAATCCCCAAACCTGCTCACCAGACGTTGCTGGTGCATCTACTCCATGTCCCAGACTAACCTATGAAAAAAGTCATTTTGTTTTCATTTTTTGTTTTTGAGGCAGGGTCTCCCTGTAAGCTCAACCTGGCCTGGAACTTGCTTGCTTTGTAGACCATGCTGGCCTCGACCTCACAGAGATTTACCTGTCTCTACCTCCTGAGTTCTGGGATTAAAGGCATGTGCCACCATACCCAGCTTGAGAAAAGAACATCTTTAGAGAAAAACCTGGAACCCACATGATTTTGGAAAAATAAAAAAAGCAACAAAAACAGATGGCTGATGACTGGAGTGGTTACATTTTTCCTCCTTAAAATAACTAGCTTTTCAGTGTAAGTTTTACTCTGTGGTTTACAAAAAAAAAGAGCATGTATAGGCACTGAGGCAAGCTATTAATACTTGGAAAGAGGGGAAGAGGTTTTGTGGTCTCATTAATTTAGAAAATGTTGGATTAAGCAGGGTCTCTTCGCTTACCAATTTCATTTTACAACCTCAGAAGAAAAGTGTCAATCAAGGTGTATGTTTCCCTGACAGTCACTAAATATCAACCAGCACATGTACATTAGTCACAGTATTTGTGTTTGTGCTAATTATCTCTTGGATACAATCTTTGAACACTGGCATAAATAACCGGAGAAAAATTCCCATTTTGCTGAACAGTGACAGGGCAAATTTAGCAGCATCATTACCTGCATTCCGAACTGACCCTTGCAGCAATGTGACCACAGTGCTTAGCATCACACAGGTGAGCTCCCTTTCTGGATCCCGAACGCCAGGACTCGGCTCTTTGTTTCCTGTCACATTGAAGGATAAATAAACATTTATTAAATATACATGGTGCAACCCACAATCTCTTCTCCCCCTGGTTTCCTAGTCTCTCAAGGAGATGTTAATGTGATGCTTCTATTGGAAGGGACCATGAATCTCAACTCAAAAGACGCAACCCTGCAAATGCATCCTCAGTGGTTCTCCAACTTGAGCACATCAGAAGCCCAGAAATCCAGAGACCTATGCCACGTCCCCACCTCAGAGTTTGTGAGCTAGAAGATCTTAGAAGAAGCCCTGCAATTCTCATTTCTAACATGCTCCCACATGATGTTGATGGGCTTGGCCCAACAACCATGCACAGAGATTCTCAAGATGATAAATGAAGCCTATCACATTCATCTTCCTTTTACAGTCTACCAACATGTCTAGAAGGGAGGGCTGCAGCCTGTTGAGTAAGCTGGGAAACAGCTCAAAAGATTCTGGAGTAGATAGATGGTCTCATGAGATCTTTGAGGCCCTGTGGTGGTTTGAATGAGAATGTCTCCCGTAAGTTCAAGTACTGAACACTTGGTCAGTTGGTAGTGGTGTTTGGAGAGGTGATGGAACCTTTAGGAGGTGTGGCCTAGCTGGAGGAAGCATATCACTGAGAGCAGGCTACAAGGAGTCATAGCCTTGCCCCACTTCCAGTTTGCCCTCTCTGCTTCCTGTGCCTGCTGGAAGATGTGAGTGCTCAGCTTTCTGCTCTGGTTTCCTCTGCTGCCATGCCTCCCTGACATGATGGAATCAACTCTCTGGAACTCTAAGCCTGAATAAACTCTGCCTTTTATAAGTTGCCTTGGTCATGGTGTTTTATCACAACAACAGAAAAGTAACTAATGGAGGCCCTAACAAGGTCTCTTCATCCAGCGCTGAATCCCAGTGCTGGAAAAGTGCAGAAACAGGAAGTTCAGCTCCTAACTGGGGAATGAAAAGTGGATAAATGAATGTGTATGAGAAGAATGTATATACCAGGAGGCAGAGTCTGTAGGACCCTATAGGTCACATTTGAAAAATGAAGCACAAATAAGATTCAACACTCCCCCAAAAAGTTAAACTCTAGGAACGATCAAAGGTCTAGGATTAGATCAGAAAGTAAATATGGATCACAAAGTTAAACTGGCAAAAAGCAATATCCAGAGAGCATAGTCCAGAAAGACTGAACAAGAGACTTGTCTCCAGCATTCACCATGAAACACCAAAGGAAGCAGGGGACTGATATGTTAACTTCATCCACAATGGGATTTAAGGCCAGAAGTATGCTATGGCTGGTGCTGGGCACTTAGTCTCTAATTCACATGTTCAAGGTATTGGAGGTAAGGACTTTAGGTGAGATGAGGCCATAGGGTGGCATAAGCTGGCACATTTGCTTTATCACACCATGCAATGCTCTTCACCATGTTATGACAGAGCAAGAAGGCCTTCTCAAGATGCTGGCCCCATGATATTCAACTTCCCAGTCTCCAGAACCACAAGCCAAATACACTTCCATTTAGGAGGATAACTCAGCAGTAGAGCATTGAGCTACAAGTAAACTTGTATTCTGTTTTTGGTTTTTTGGTTGGTTGGTTGTTTGGTCTTTTTGAGACAGGACCTTCTTGTAGCCCCAGCTGGCCTAGAACTCACCATATAGACCAGGCTGGCCTCAATGTCACAGAGATCTGTCTGCCTCTGCCTCCCAGGTGCTGGGATTAAATACATATACCACCACGTCCAAGCTTTTTTTGATTTTTTAAGATGTATCTACTTTTATTCTATGTGTATAAGTGTTTTGCCTATATGTATGTATGTAAGTGCACCCATGTGTACCATACCTATGGAGGCCAGAAAAGGGCATCGTATAACCTGGAATTGGAGTTATGGACAGTTGTTAACCACCATGTGGGTGCTAGGAACTGAACCTGGGTCCTCTGCAAGAGCATCCAGTGCTCTTAACCACTAAGCCATCTCTCCAGCCCCTAAACTTCTATTCTTTATAAATTACCCAGTCTGAGGCATTTTGTTACAGTGCAGAAAACAGATTAAAGCAGTTGCTGAGCAATAGAAAGAAGCACAGAGATATATACTTCCAGAGCCTGGTCTCAAAACCCAGACTCACAAAGGCATCCTGGAAGCCCATTGTTCTAAGTCCTGATCCTATCTGCAAACATTCCAAGGAGGACATGGCTCCTTCCTAAACTCCTGAAGGTACCCCAGCTCCTTGTGTCATAGCTGTCCAATGGAGTCCTATGATACAGCCACAGTCTCATAGAGGTGAAGTAACTGGATAAGATTGCTCTACTGGGATCCTGGTGGGGAAGACTGGGAGACTGCCTGTTCTTTGTGAAGCCATAAGCCTCAGAGCTCCCTCCTCTACCCATCACACTCATATCCTCTGCTACACTGAAGGGTGGCTAGATCAGCAGACCCAGTCCGACTAATATTGATCATAGCAGTTGCCCACCCCTCTGTGGTGCACCTGACTTCCTCATGATCTTAGCCTGCTTCCGTAGCTGGGCCAGCAGCAGGCCTAGCAGTCCAGAGTCCCGGAAGATGTCAGTGAAGAGTGGGTCACTGGCGGTGATCCTGAGGATGCTCTGCAAGGCCACGAGGGTGCAAGACAGCTCTGGGCTCTCCTTGATCAGACGCTGCACTTTCCCCAGGATCTCATGGGGCACATAGAGAAGCTGGAACACCAGGGTCTCCAGCAACTGGAAAAAGTGCTCCTGCACCAAAGTCGGCTTCAGGGGCACAATCTCCACAAACTGCGAAATGGGCTGCAGGGTCCACTCCAGCAGGAAGAAGTTCCGAGGGTTCCAAGCCCACATGGTCTTGATGGCCAAAAGGACTTGGGTGCAAAGGACAGAGTCATTGGCTTTGTGGAAAACATTCTGCAGGACCTGGAAGGCCTGGAGATTCTTAACGGTCACCCCTGAAGATGAAAACGAGAATATTTATACTAAGTGAAGTAACACAGACTCGGAAAAATAAACGACGTACGTTCTCCCTCATATGTGGCTCCTAGCACCAAATCCTTTTAAATTCCAGGTCCTTTTAATAAGATGATGATATACAGCAATCCCTTCTGCATGAAATAACTACCATCATCACACTTCGGCTGAGCCTGATTACTAAACATAGTCACAATTAGGCTTGTTGACGGTTGTGCTCCTTCATTAAAGGAGTGCCAAGCATGGTCATAGGACCCTCACCTGAGTATCCAGCCACTCTGCCCAGCCAACTAGTCCAGCCTTGGAAGACAAAAGAAAAATGAGGAAGAACCCAATAGATGGATGCTTTTGGAAGCCCTTGCCAAGAAACTCCAATGGACTCTCCTATGAACATTTGAAATTTGCCCTGTTCTGACTTTTTTCTGGTTCCCTGTCTAGAACTTGTAATGCTAACTGCTCTTACCTTTGGTTCTCCTTCACATCGTGTATTCATCAGCCAAGGGCTTTCTTTTCTTCCTACAGATAAGAGTTATGCAATTTGAGCATCTTTTTGATAGACCTACTGAAGGGGTACCCCAATTGCCTCACCCTGCATCCCTGTTGAGCATGGAATAAGACAGAGCAGTCTGCATCCCAATTCTCTATGAGCAATTTGGGTAACCTCTTCAGACGGTGGTGTGGTAAGAATAGGAAGTAGGATCTGCCTAGGGAGTTAGGGTGAAAAAACAAAAACAAAGAAATGTAGCCAGTTTCTTGGCTAAAAGTCAAAATGTCCTTGGGCCTGTTAGCAACATACTCTGTTCCAAGGCCTAAAATGTCAAAGGTATTTTGGAGCTTGTATCCTTAAAAGAGTTTAGGGTTACCTCTTCAGAGGGGGGAATGTTGGAGGGGAGGGAGTGGGCATGGATTTGATCAAAACACATTCTATGCATGTATGAAATTCTCAATAAAGTTTTATAAATATTAAAAAAATAAAATTAGACATAGGAAGAATTAAAAAGAAAAAAGAACATTCGAATATTCCTGAAAGTTAGTGCTCTGCCTATCTGGAAATGCATACTGTATTCTCTTAGGACTTGGCGTTTGAAGTTTCTTTTTTTTTTATTTTTTAGTTCCTATCAGTACATAACTATGAAATCCAAGAACTCCAACCACCATGGTGGGAAAAGGACGGGACCTGTATTGTCAAAGATACATTAGCTAGCTGAGCACTCCAGCTGTGGCCACTCTGAACCAAGATACACCCATGAGGGTCAGATACACAAAGCATTTCCAAGCATCAGCATAAAGGAACAGAAGCAAATGATTTCATTAACAGCCCTGCCTATTGGCGGCACAATGAGATCCAATATATGATCAGAAATCATCTAATCCATTTCTTCTTATTGAAAAGTAAAGTTATATGATGTGGCTCACGTATTTCCATTGCACAGAGCTGGGCTGAGATATTTGGTTTCAATCAATCAGAATCAAATGATGCTGGAGATGACTGGGCAAAGTCAGGCCATTTCTAGACAGACAAATGAATACACCTTCCTTAGCCTCTCAACCTTTTTCTCTCACTTTAAAGTGAAGCCTCATTTTCTCTCACACAAGGATACCTGGTCAGAAGTCCCATCCTTCCCCACCCCTCTCTCTGCCTTGAATTTGCTGAAGCTCTGGACGTCCCTGATTGAGGCTCTCCCCTACCCATCATCCAGCCCCTCTATGCCCCATCTTCACCTGGTATCTGCAGCTTACCAGCTCCTGCCTCTCCTCACAGCTTGCAATCTCCTGCCCCAGCTTTCATCCCTAGACTCACCCAGCTGTTCCTGTCACTGTTTCTTCCAAGTCAGTACGTTCTGCCACTAAATTCTTCCCTTTCCTTTCAACCTATACAACCCACACTAAACTTCAAAACACCCTCACCAGAACCTCGGTGCAGTGTTTCCTGACAGACCCACTAGAGGTCAGGCCTGTGCTGATGCTTTTATCAGCCAATTATCCAGCAGCCATGTGTATGTGGCAGTCTCTCTAGAGGGATTTTAGGGAAATGACACCAGTCTGTTCACACTGGCATCCAGTGTGGGGCAGAGTGCCAGAAATCTCAGAGGACTCACTGACATCATCAATCTACAGCTCAGCATCCTGGGAAGAGAAGTCACTGACTCTGAGCCTGGATGGCTGATTCAGGGTCATTGGACTCCATTATACAAGCAAATGGTACAGATTAAGTCATACATACGTGGGTGGGGTGGAATCAGAGGCCGCCTCCATTACTTGAGAGGGGCTTTGCCTTTCTTAAGCAATATTTCCCCTATGTGCAACAAAAACAAACTTCCTTGTCCAAAGCTGCAGTTACACAACTGGGAAAGCAGATAAAGGAGCGATTTAATATCCACAGATCATGTCTCCCAAGGTCATGGCAGAATCAAACCATTTCACATCATTGACAAGTGCAAACAGATTCAGAGATCTGCATAGGTTTGCCAGGGGATCCTACTGACCCCCTAGCCACCCACGGACACAACAAGGACCCACCAGAAGCCTCACGATGGAACTTGAAGCCTTCCAGCTGAGGGTAAGTGACACTGTCAAAGACCTTCAGCTCTGAATTCCCACAGGTCGTCAGCCACACCACCAACCCGATGAGTGACTCCAGATGGGGGTCCACCTCACCCTGGGTCAGCCCGTCATAGCTGCAGGAACAAACAGAGTTAGCTCCCTGGACTTTCTAGGTAGAACAGCTTACATTTGTGCACAATACTCCACAGAAAGAGGCAGAGATTGCCGAGTGTGGTGGTGCACACCTTTAATCCCAGAGCAATATTCCCCCTATGTGCAACAAAAACAAACTTCCTTGTCCAAAGGACTCCTTGGGAGTCAGAGGCAGATGGATCTCTGTGAGCTCAAGGCCAGGCTGGTCTACATAGTGAGTTCCAGGTCAGCCAGGGCTACATAGTGAGACCCTGTCTCAGAAGAAAGAAAGAAAGGAAGGAAGGAAAGAAGGAAGGAAGGAAGGAAGGAAGGAAGGAAGGAAGGAAGGAAGAGAGGGAGGGAAGGAAGGAAGGAAAGAGGAAGGAAGGAAGGAAGGAAAGAAAGAAAGAAAGAAAGAAAGAAAGAAAGAGAAAGGAAAAGAGAGAGAAAGATACTTAGGCAGTGCAGATCTGCCATGTGAGGGAAGACTTCAAAGGTCTCCAAGTAGGGGCAATTCAGCACCAAAAGTAAAGAGAGAGTCCTAGATAAATGTCACTCTATTTACAAACTTCAGCCTTCCACCTAGAGAAGTGAAATCACTATACAGCAGCCTCCTCTTATGGGTATTTTACACTCCAACATTTTAATTGTCATTAATCAACTACAGTCCAAAAACATTAACTGGGGCTGGGGACATAGCCCAGTTGGTAGAATGCTCACTCAGCATGCACAAAAACCTGGGTTTAATCCCCAGAACTGCAGAAAGCCAGCCATGGTGATATATGCCTGTAATCTCAGTATCAGAAGGTAGAGGCAGGAGGATCAGAGGTACAAGTTCATTCTTGGTTACATAAAAAAATTTGGGCCAGTCTGGGCTACACAAGACCCTACCTCAAAAAAATAAAGTGTACATATTTATCAACTGGGAATTCCAGAAATAGAAAACTTATGTTTTAAATTAATTTGTTATAATATGGTGATGTATAAATGTTCTATTTTCTATTAGTTATTGTTGTTAACCTCTTATTGTGCACAATTTATAAATTCAACTGGATTATCACTAAGTATGTATGTATGTATGTATATATGTATGTGAGAAAGTGTAGTATGTATCAGGTTCCATATGATCCTCTGGAGACTCAAGCCAACTCAGCATGGCTGTGGGTGAGGCGGGAAGGGAAGACAGTGAGCTGAAGAACGCATTTCCTGACACCCCCTGGAACAAGCTCATTTTCCCTTCTGCCTTCTGTAAGAAGCCTGGGAAAAAATGACCATCCACAGAACCAAAGAAGAGTGTAGAAAATGCCGTCCAGAACACCATAGTGGTCACAGCCAGTTGGCCATGGGTCCGATTACTTACTGTGCAATATGGTATACCCAAAGAGACATTTGCTCTTAGCATCCCTTAGAAGGAGGACCTTCTGGTGCTGTCATTACAAACTTGTGGAGACTGTAATGAGGAGACTTCCTGCTTCCAAGTTTCCTCTTCGAAGCTTGGCCCTGTTGTCTGTGAAGGATAGTGGTAAACTCCACTCCGTTTAGGGGAGCCCAAGTAAAGCCCAAAGGCAGGTGCACAACCTTGCCCTGAAGCAATTTCCCCAATTCCAGTGGAAGAGTCTGGAACATCAGAAACTTTGATTTCCAACTCTTGTTCTCACTAATTCCTGGGTCCGCCCTGAATATAACTTAGTAAGTCCAGGTGAAGAAGTTAGCTCAGCCCCAGTTGCACTACATCTTGGGTTTCCCACACTTCGAGGACCTCATCCTAGTGCTGGCCAGGCATGGGCTGGAGAAGAAAGCCTTCCAGGTGAGAAGCCATTCACTTGAGAGTTGATCCCAGAAGCAACCAGCAGGTGACAGGTTGTATGAGGTGGCAAAGGAAACTCATTGGAATTGTCAAGCTTGTACCTCCCTGGGCAACTGGATTTAGTCCTTCTGAGGAATTTGAGATGGTGTGGAGCATAAGCACCCAAAGAACAATTTTATTGAATTACCCATCAGTTCCTGTCAATCACTGGTGGAGAATTGAGGGTGGAGGCATGATTCCCACACACTTCCAGACTTCCAAGCACATAGGCAGGCCAGACTACAGCAGCCCTCGTAAAGCTCCTAACACAGACATGTGAGCTCTGACAGGTAAGAAGTCAGGCCAGCAGCATGCAGGTGGTGTGTGCCACCCGGTGAACTTGGTAAAATGATTATCAGTGTCACCTACTGATCTCCTAAGGAAGTGATTCCCACCTCCCTCTGCATGTTGAGTACTGTTGTAGAGAGGAGTCTCTCTGGTCCTGCTCTCAGGAGCCATGAATTTCAGAAGACATGTTGAGATACTTTTCTGTGTACTGAAATACCCCCAAATGATTCTAAGTACCATAGCTTGAGTCATCTGGTTTCTCTCCATTTCCACCAAGCCCAGCCACTTACCGTAAGAGCACCTTGAGTAGCAGAGGGTAGCCCTCCCCATTCTCAAACTCCAGGAGCAGAGCAGAGGAGACGGGGTAGGAGTCTTTCACAAAACTCAGGATGAGGCTCACAGCTTCGCTCACCTCGGGCGCAGGGAGAGTGTCTGCCAACTTGTAGAGGTTCTGAACTGAAAGCCGGACACAGTTGGTAGCTGTGGGAAGGAAGCAGAGCCCTACTGAGCCTGGGAGTAAGAGGTTTGCTGCTGCTGCCCGTCCCTCTCCCTACCATCTATCTCCACTTCAATGTATACATCAAGACTAAAATGAGACTTCTTACCCTTTTCCCCACTTCCACGCTGAGTAGCCCCAACCTTAGCCGAGGAACTACTGGCAACTGATCACTGCTGGGCAAGGAAGAGCTGGTCTTCTTTAAGGGAATGATGCTAGATAGGTTGACCAGGTTCCAATGGATGGACACCAAAGGGGCATTTGGGGATACAAACTTGACCTGATAGGCCTTGACATATGTGACAGAAGGCATGAAATCTGGCAGGGGGATGTGGGGAAGGGTACAAATATGGGAGGGGTCTAAATATGATCAAGACTACATGAAATGCACAAAAAATAAATTTTTTTAGAAACTTGAATGAGTTTTTTAGAAACTTTCTCCTGGCTCTTGGGCTCATGTATCCAAGAAAGGCTCCTGGGAGCTGTAGACCCAACTGAAGACACAGGAGGGGAAAGCAGCCTCTTAGCTTCACTTTCCTAGAACACAGGAGAGTCCAAGTCCCTGGACAATGAGATACAGGACAAGACCCAAGCATTGCAGACAATTCAAGAAGCAATGTGGAGCCGAGAACAGAAAGCTGGGCAGAAATCAACTTGCTGAGACGTTCAGGGAAGGAGACGTGAATGTGCGAGGAAGTAGAACTCAGCAAGAAGCCAGAGGATTCAAGCAAGTGGGAGCTACAGGGGAAGAGGAAGGCAGGGTCTACTCATGAGGCATAGACCTCACTGAACTTGTTGTTCACCTGGAATGGTGGGAAGTCAGAGGAAGGCATGAGTCAGAAGGAAACCATTGCAGATGCATTTGCATGGACCCTTGTTTTGAAGATTCTCTCCTCAAAGGGCTAGAGAGATGACTCAATGATTAGGAACACTGATTGCCTTATAGAGGGCCCGGGTTCAGTTTCCAGCACCCACATGGCGGCTAAGGACCATCCTAACTCCAGTTCCAGGGGATCCGACACCCTCTTTGGACCTCCACAGGCATTGCAGGACAGGGGTGCACTTGCATGCAGGCAATACACTCGTGCACATAAAATAAAAATGACACATTTTTTAAAAAGAGTCTCTCCTTGAGTGGAGGCTCTTGTGAGTGCCAGGAAAGCCACCGCAGTGGAACTAAGATGACACCCACCCAGAATCTCAGCTGTAAGGACTCAGATGACGCTGAACTTGATGCTTTAGGAGGGACAGACCCAAGAGTGACCGATCATGTGGTGGTGACTGGCAAACTAGCTTCTCTTTCTGACCACCAGCTCACCCCATAAGCCTACAGAAACCCACTCCTGTAAGAAGGTTCTGGGCACAGTGCCCCAGAGATGGGTTTCCATTTAGAAAGAGGCTTTCTGAAGCACTGTCTTGATCAGCATAGGATAACATAACCAGAAACCCCTACGATCCAAGCTTACAGCCTTTTCCTGGCCACTCACACTCTAGCTGAGGTGGAGAGGGGTCTTAAAGAAGACTGAAATACCAAGCCATGGCTCAGCTTTGACTATAAGCATAGGCCTTAATCTCCCAGGAACCTTTGAACCCAAAACTGAGGTGACATTTCCTCCAAGAACTCAGTTACAGTAAGAGGATAGGCTTGTGGGACTGCGTTGGTTCTCAGTGGTACATGCCCCCTAGGATAGAAGGCAGATGGATCACAGGACAAGTATTTGTGAACATGCAGATCATATTAGCAAGTCAGACTCCCAACTTGTCTTCAAAGAGCCTATACCATGGGTGAGGTCAGCCCAAGAGAAGCACTGTTGTGATCCAAGGTGGCTGCTATGCTCATCTGAAGGATCTGAAAAGATGTCAGGCAGTGGATGGGGCGTCGAGCAGAGATGAACATGAACCTTCCTTAAAATGTCCTTCTTGGAGCTAGGGGTTAGAAGGCTTTCTTCCTTCTCTGCTCCACACCCGCCAGCACTAAGATGAGGACGAGACTCTCAGTGGTCTCCATGCTTATGTGGAGTACTACCTGGGTCCTCCAGAGGCAGCTGATGTTAAGGGAGGCCCCTGGGACAGCTAATGGGATTGACTCCCTCATCATTTCATCACTAATAAAATCCAAGTAATGATAACCCCAAGTGATGATAACATGACACTGAGAACAATGTGCCTAATGCTGTCTGAGCACTTCACATATGTCAACTCACTGAAAATCACAGCAATGCAAGGAAATTGGTACTACTGTCTTCATCATCTTACAAATGAGATAACTAGGATATCCATGTGCTTAAGTACCTGAGGTCCCTCCCTTAGCAGCGCTGGAGTCCATAAGCCTAGCTGTGGTTCCAAAGTCTATGACCTTTTAAAACACGTTTCTCAAGATAGACACTAAAGTACAGGAAACAGACATCTCCAGGATTAAAGGAAGATTTGGGCAAGATCTTCTGCCACTTTTCTTTTCTTTTCTTTTCTTTTTGGTCTTTTTGAGACAGGGTCTCCCTGTAGCCCCAGCTGTCCTGGAACTCACTATGTAGACCAGGCTGGCCTTGAACTCACAGAGCTCTGCCTGCTTCTGCCTCCCGAGTGCTGGGATTAAAGGCGTGTGCCACCATGCCCAGCTAGATCTTCTGCCACTTTTCATCTCCATTTCTTTATGCCAACATCTATCTCAAAGAGCCTAATAACATAGTAAACAAACAGGCCCAACATGCTATCTGTCTGGTAGTGTGTGTGTGGGGGGAATGAGTTCCCCTTTCTCTCCCTCCTCCACTGATGCGTCAAGAGACATAATACATGTACTTTCACAGATGGAGCCATGGAATGCAGGGTCATTTATTGGGCAGAGTTTTCCACTCATCTCTCCTTTGGTTTCAGGAGTCTACACCAATGCTGTAAAAGCCAGTTGGTCCTCGAGGTTTGCTCTGAGTTAAAAGAACCCCTTGACTATCGATTGATGTTTTCCCTTGGCACCGTCATATTGCTCTGGATCCCTGTATTAACCTTCACCCACCCGGGGCTCAGGGACCATAGTGGAAGAGGAAGCAGAAAGATTGTAAGAGCCAGGGAAGAGGTGCATGACCGTATGGAAACAGGGTTCTGCAAGCTCCTGGGACCCTGCTAATATAATTCTATGGCATTGGTGTCAGCATACACAAGTCCCAGGCACACTCAGGCAGACAAAAACCCAGCATAGAACTTGGGAAATGAACAGCATACCTCAATCTTAGCTGAAGAAATATTGGCAACAGATTACTGCTAGGTGAGGAAGAACTGATCTTAAAACAAGGGACTCTAGATAGGCTGACTAGACTTCAGTGGATGGACTAGCATTGGGGAACAGCTGGAGACACTAACTGACACAGTGGGCCTTAACACAGATGACAGAGTATATGGGTTCCAGTAGGGGGAGTATGGGAGGGTGTCAGTGGGGACAGGAGTATCAGGATATAAAGATGATTAACATTGTTTGAGATATTCTGTATGAAATTCACAAAAATTCAATAAAAACGATAAGAAAATTAGTAAATAAATAAATAATAAAATAAATAAATAAACCCCTTGAGTTCTAAAAGAGCCCACAGCCCATACCTGGTCTCCTGGAACCTACTTTGTAGATATTGAATGATGCCGGGACTCTGAGCCTTGGAGATGGCTCTCAGCACGCAGAAGGTGGGCTCTTTCCAGAAGTAGCAGCTGTGCTCCCGCAGACAGGTGGTAGCAATCAGCAGAGACTGGAGCTCACTTCCTGAGAGAAGTCCCTCCAGGCCCCGAGACTCACTGCAAATGTTAAGCAACATCTGGGAGGAATAAAAAACAAGGAGGCTCTTCCCGATTTCTGTGGAGCATTGGTAAGCACACCCCAGCAGAAAGGACTGGATAGTGAACATGGTCACCCTCTGTCCCCAGTCAGTGTTGTCCACACAGTCAGCTAGAAGGGGCAGGGCTATGGCTCAAGTCTGAACGCATAATCCTTGTATAAGCAATTGCCATGCTTTCCAAACAAAGTATAATGGCCCCTTTACCCCCAGAAAATAAAGGGTATACTGCACAGATGCCTAAACCCTGTATGGTACTGAGCCCTATACATACAGTAGCCTTGCATGTCCATGAATTCCCCATACATGGATTCAGCCAATGGAGGCAGACAATGTTCAGGAAAAACAATGCATTTGTATTGAAAATCCTCAACCTTCAATTCCCTAAATGCACTGTGGCAACTATTTACATTGCATTTCTGGTGCATCAGGGATTCTAAGTCATCTAGACAGAAATTAATGTCCAGAGAAGGTGGGCATAGGTTTTATTTCCACGTCATTTTCTATAGGGGGCTTGAGTATCTGTAGATTTTAGTACTTCTAAAGAATCCAAGAACCAATCGTGCAGAGATACTAAGTACACCTACTATGATAAAGTCTAATTTAGAAATGAGACAGAGGAGGAAACTAACAACAGTGGCTAACAACGAACTAGAACAATTAGAGCAATTTATTATAACACTTATTACAATAAAACACTTTCAAGCTTATGAATTGTTTATTTCTGGAACAACTCTAACAAAGTCATACTTGACTTTGATGTCTTTTCCCACAGAAATACACAAAGCATCATCGACAATGAACCCTGCGGGTGTGCTCAACCATCTGACATCGCAGAGAACAACGTTATCATGTACAAAGTTCACACTAGAGAACCAGACAATCGGCTTACCAAAAAAGCAAATCAAAATCCCATAATGTTTTAAGTAAATTTATGATTTTTTTTTGTATTTTATTTGTGTG